TGTAACTGTAACTGTAACTGTACAGTATCAGTATCAGTAACAGTAAGTTACTGTAACTGTAACTGTAAAGTATCAGTATCGTAAGTTACAGTTACTGTAACTGTAAAGTATCAGTATCGTAAGTTACAGTTACTGTAACTGTAACTGTAAAGTATCAGTATCGTAAGTTACAGTTACTGTAACTGTACAGTATCAGTATCAGTAAGTTACAGTTACTGTAACTGTATCTGTAACTGTACAGTACAGTTCAGCATTAAACTGTTTCCATGGTTTCTCGGTCTCTGAACACCTCGGCCCTCCACAGTGAGCCTCTCACAATCCCTCACCAACGTCCACAGATTGTGGGCGGAGCATTATTGAGTTAACCACCAAGAGTAAATCACCATGACAACAAACCAAAACGACCTGACGTCAGAGATTTCCTGCTGAAGGTACCTCACTGCATAGTACAGCCCTGTGTGTGTGTGTGTGTGAGTGTGTGTGTGTGTGTGTGTGCGTTACCTGGTAGTAATTAGGCCAGAAGGTGGACACAGCTAGCTCCACCTCTTTCCAGATGTGGTAGGCGGGGCCTGATGAGTTAAAGACTGGAACTCCCAGCGGACTGTTGTTCTCTGTAGGAAACAAGAACACTGTGAACACACCTGACAGTCCCGCCCACAAACACACCTTCAGCCCCGCCCACACACACACACACCTGACAGCCCCGCCCACACATCTGACAGCACTGCCCACAAACACCTGACAGCCCCGCCCACACACACCTGACAACGCGCATTTTGTCTTAGTGTCACCATAATTTGTCTTTTTTATTTCATCAAAGCAACATAACAATAAACAGAACTTATATTAAACAGAAAAACTCGCTAATGAGGTTGAAAAATAGTTAGCCCTTCCGCTCTTTAGCCAAACACCTGTTCACCTCATCAGGTGACTTCTATATGTAGAGTCAACACCCCCTGACGTCATCATGACGTCATCATTACATCATTACATCATTACCTCATCATCATCATCTCAGCAATACCACTTCAACATGATTAACAGTACTTAATTATGATCAGCATAATTTGATATATATGGCAGTGTGATTATAAGTTGCTCACATGAGTATTATATGGTATATGTGCAACACAGATAAGTGTTATGGCTTCAACACTGTGTAATATTGTAGTATTTTGTGTAGTATTCTGTGTAATATTGTAGTATTCTGTGTAATATTGTAGTATTCTGTGTAGTATTTAATTCAATTCAATTCAATTTCAATTTCAATTTCAAATTCAATTTTATTTGTATAGGCGCCAATTCATAATTATGATCTCAGGGACACTTTTTGAAATAGAGTCAGGTTAACCGAGACTCCTTTTTAACATATTTACAGAGACCCAACAGTACCACATGACAAGACCTTGGAGACAGCGGCAAGGAAAAACTGCCTTTTAGACAGGCAGAAACCTAGGACAGACCCTAGGTTTCGGCTCTAGGTGGGTGGTCATCTGCCTTGACCAGTAGTATTATTGTGTATTGTGTAGTATTCTGTTTAGTATTGTAGTATTCTGTTTAGTATTGTAGTATTCTGTGTAGTATTGTAGTATTCTGTGTAACATTGTAGTATTCTGTGTAGTATTTGTACCTTTGACATAAATGTTGAGCGTGGCGGGCGTGGCGCCCTCGCGGCCTCCCGCCTGGTAGAACTGGAAGTTGACGCAGTGCGTGTCGTTCTCTTTGAGGGGCGGCAGCAGCAGTTGAGCACGCTGACCGCTGTAACGACCCGATGTGTTCACAAACAGGAAGGAGGAACCTGCAGACAGGAAGTGACACCTCATTAACAAAAGGCTTCAAAATAGTCTTCAGATTCCAGAATCTTCACAATAAAAGTATGAGGTCATAAAGTCTGCAGAAAGACAAACAAACAAACAAAAGGAAATTAATTAAATTTGAATCATGTTGGAATCGTCAGCTGTTTTATCTCCAGACTTCTTCCCCGAATATCCAAAAATATTATACTGTGTGTGTGTGTGTGTGTGTGTGAGCTGTCAATCATTCTAGTTTCTCTGGATTTACTTTCCTTTATGTCTCAGTTTCTGTGAAACTTTCTATGAAATTCAAATTACTCGTCTTTTTTTACAGTGTGTGTGGGTTGAAGGGCGTAGCCATGGCAACAGCAAGAGAGCAGTAACAGTGAAATATACCTTCAGTGGTTGTACAGCTGTCAGTCAGACTGTTCAAACAGTGAAAGTACTGTGAGAACAACAAGGTAACAACAAACAACAACAAATTAAAGCTGCGAGCAGCGAGGAACGGGCCCTCGCCTGCACGCGTCGCCTGCACAAATCGGGCGTGCTGGGGTCGTGTCATGTGTAGACCACGCTGTGAAAACTGAATGTAAATCAGATGATGAACACCATAGAAGGCTTACTTCCTGTTCCCAATAGGGGGCGCTATGAGTCAGACTGAATATTATGAGGTCTGAGCTGTGGTCAGACCCGTGTAATGTACAAGTTATGGCAACTTCCTGTTTCATGGCGAAATTTACAACTTTTAATCCTGAAGGTCTTTAGATAGTAGTAGTATTTTCCCATGATGCTTCGAGGCGCTGCACAAAATGTGGCCACTAGGTGGCGCCTGTGTTGCAACATCATGGAAAACACTACAATAAAAAATTGATCTGGTCTCAACCTGCCGTCTGGATTGTGCTGCAGGTTTGGCTCGTGTCGGGGGTCCGGGACCCTGTTAACACCTGGATGCAGGTCTATATGTCACATATGACGCTTCATTCCGTCACCTCATCGTCTGACATCGCTGTTTCTGTCGGAGACGTTCACATTCACTGCGTCAGTTGTCTTTAAATGCAGACAGTTGCAGGGAACTTGAGCAGCTCCTCCTGTGAAACATTAAACTGTGACAGTGAAGAGGATTCAGCTTCAGTAATGTCTGCTGGTCCCTTTTTCTCCAACACAAACTGTAAAACCACTGATTTCCTCCCCAGAGATCAATTTCATCTGAGAGGAGACTTTTATTTGATTTTATTTCCAGGTTCACAGAGAGTGTGTGTGTGTGTGTGTGTGTCAGCAGATCAATGGTCCTTGAGGAGAATCGATTAGAAAAACAAGAGTTTTAATCATCCCAGAGAGAAGAGGAGGAGGAGGACGACGAAGAAGAGATAAATGAGAGTAAACGAGGAGGAGAGGATGGGCGAGCGAGGACAATACAGACTGATGAGGAGAGAGAGAGAACAATAAACACTGATGAGTTCATGCACAGTACGTAAATATGTGTCACTAATGAACATTTGTGTCTAACGATCAGCGAACTGATATCAACCTGCAGCACATTAAATGATCAGTTCTGGTATGGATGAAACTTTTACACCTATAGAGTCTAAAATGTTCCCATTAATCAATATTAAATCAATAAGTTATAATCATTAAACAGTGTATAAACTCTAGAGCTATGTTCTATATGGAGTTGATCAATAATCAATAATCAGAAGCTGTCATGTACATTGACTGTTTATCCATGCCACTGTTAGATCTTTGGTGGCTCTTTAACTCTAGATTTTGAACCGCGGATGAAGGAGTTTTTAGTCCATCGGAACGTCTGGGTCGTTAAGGTTATCAGAGAAACAAGCCTGAGCTAATGTTTAGCGAGCAGCTCGGCTCGCAGCCCCTTCGTGACGTCCTTTGTCTGTCCACAAATTAAATAAAAATATGAGATAAAAAGTCATCAAATGAATGTTTTGGTGTCAGTCCTGTTAAATCAGGAGTTTTCTTTATGAAGTCTGGAATGAACCCTGAGAACTCTTCAGTAGAGGTTGTATGAATTATGACTGTAATGAATGAATGTAAAAGGACAAAGATTATTTAAAGGAAAACAAGTCGTTGCTTTAATAAACTACTTGTTTCCTGCTATGTTATGATCTGATCATTTATTGATCGATTTATTAGTTCTAATCAGTCATTTGTTGGTGTTTGTCCTCGTCTGCGTCTCTCTCGCTCTCTCTGTGATTAGACTCTGTTCCAGGTCATGTTTCCGTGGATTGTCCTGACTGGTTTGGTCATGTTCACTGTGTATGTGTGAAAATACGTGTGTGTGTGTGTGTGTACCAGCTGTTTCCGTAGCAACCGAGGAATGTTCTTGAACAAACAGCCGGAGAGGTCGAGCTGCAGTGAACAGTTTACAGATTATAAGTGTGTACAGTCAGAGACAACCCTGAAATACAACTGCAGCATCGTCCTGTTTCTATCGGCTCTTAAACTCTTATGAGAGACTCTCAACAGCCTGCTTGGTGTCAGTGTTCCATTTCCAGACTTCATAAAGAAAACCTGATTTTACCAAATCAAAAATTTACCATTTTTTTCCAACCCGCGGGTCCCGCATTTATTTAATAATTTGATAACTATGTCTTATTTGGTCTGACAAATGTGGCTTGAAAACAGCCCTTTCGAAGTGCACTGGAAACAGGCAACAACAAATAAAATTTGATAAAAATAAATATATAACGTATAAAAAAAACAAAAATACAATCTAAAAAAATAAAATTAGGCTTGCATTTGTTGTAGGTATTATTATACACATATATATATATTACAATAAAAGAATAAAAGAACATATTCAACCACATAGGCCCTAAAATGAGGGCGTCCCACCTACAGGCTATCATCCTGTTTTCTAAAGGTTCTTATAGCACCCATATAGAATTATAAGACTGTACCGGACTTATGGCTATTTTCATGAAAGCATTGCATGTTAACGCTTTTTGTGACGTCAGGTTCGCAGGTGGATTTACCAAACAGTGTTGTTTTAGAAGTAGCTGTATTGGACATATTTTAATCCTTAATGACCCGCCCCGCCAATAAAGTAAACATTTCTTGACCCGACGAGACCCGCGGGTTACGGCATACCATAACAGCACGATAATGTTAATGTTAAATGAAACGGTTTACTACTTTGCATAATATGTATAATAAATAAATGTCAATTTTTCTTAAAAAGGAAACAAATTGGTTGTTATTATTAAGTGATCTGTCTTGTTTTCTATTGTATATTTAAATAATTGGGCTTAATTAAGCAAAAGTATGTTATATCCGATTACTCGATTAAGTCGATAGAATATTCGATAGAATACTGGCGATACAAAAATATTGCAATAGCGCAGCCCTACAGATGTTTACTGTGCTTTAATGCAAATGAACGGATCAAAAGGATGCAACAAAATGAACAAAAGGAAGCTTTTAAAAAATTGCTTGTTTTCTGAATGAGACGTTTTGTTGATACAGGGCGATGCAACTTAGTTCAGCAGTAAAAGTTAAAAACAAACCAAGCGTACAGACACATATTTTCAGCAATAATCAAACTATTAATAATGACTTTTGAAATTGGTCTAAACCAAAGGGATGGCGGAGTCCTAGGGCTGATATTTGTGTTTCAGTAGAAATCTGAATTTGAATCATTTAGAGGCTGAACTCTTGAAATTGCCAACTTTCCCAATAATTGCATAAAAACCTGAATTGAAATTGCATAATTTGAATTTGGTATTGTTTAACTGCAATCTGAATAGGGCATAATTTTGAATTTGAGATTTATTAGTTTGAAACTGAATTTGAGCTCACTAAAACAATTCATTTTTTATGTTACTTTCAATTCAGATCTCTAAATCAAATTCAGATCTCTAAATTCAAATTCAGGTCGCTCAATTCAATCAGATCGCTCATTCAAATTCAGATCCTAAATTCAACATTCAGATCTCTAATTCAAATTCAGGCGCTCAATTCAGATCGGTTTGTCCATACTCCCCAATTTCAAACCCACAAAATACAACCTTTTAAGGTCACAGATGGGTTCAAATCGTTAAGGAAGAAGGCAATCCGAGTGCAGAGTAAGCTGCAATGCTTTTCCAACAGCCAGCAGAGGGGCGACTTCACTGGCTAAAGAAAGCCCCAGTTGCCATCAGAAATAAATGGCAAAATAAGTTCCACTTACTGTTACCTCATTAAAACATTTTTCTTATGAGTTTTTTGATCTAATTCGGTCAGTTTTCCCAAGTCTTTCAACACAGCAATGATGGTCAAATTTAAAAGGTGTAACTTCCGATCCCTAATTTCAGAGGAAAATGACACGATAAAGCAGATTTATGGCTTTAGGACGGGCTGCTGATTGAGTTGTGGCAGACCTGTCAACAAAGCTACAGTGACTCTATCTACTGCACTGGTACATTGAGCCCGACATAGAAAACTATTAGGAGTCGGCTGTTAATATTTTCCAGTAGGTACATTTTTGTTATTTAGCTAAAAATAGCGTCTGATTGCAGGCAGGGGGGTTAGGCTCAAACCCAGTGCATCCAGCAGCTTTCACAGTGGCCATTTCTGGTTTTGGCAGGTTGAGATGCACCAAGATTTTCCTGAGATGCCACGGCATCTTTTCACCAAATTTATGATGGTATTCAGTGGCAATCGAGGCACCTGCCACTGTTTTGTGTGGTTGCCCAACCGTCACCCGTAAGATGCCATGGCACAATTTGCCGATTTATGGAGTATAACGGTGGCAAACAAGGGGCGTGTCGCGAAATCTACCCCACTACTCATATAGGCCTACTGACAAACCATATACAACCAGAAGCAGTCGCTGCTAGAGAAAAGATCGCGACTGCAGATGGCAGCTGTTTTGTAAAAATCTGCTACTGAGATACAGACATTATATAAATGTTACACACTGCAATATTAGAACTTGGTAGCATGAATGCTTGATTTTTACTGCACAAATGTGGGAGAAATTCAACAAATAAAAGTCACATATTTGTACAATAACAGAGTTAAGCTAACGTTGGGCGTTCAACGCGACCCATCAACACCATGGCTCATTTGAATATTCAAATGAGCCATGGTGTGATTGGCCACCTGCTTAACCTTACGTTTGATCTGTCTCTGAGATTTGATAGG